TAAGGCTATGCTCTCTGTGTGTTTGATTTACATGTAATTTGCTAGAGATTACATATAAATGATTCCTCAATCATTGTCATAAATTTCTTCACATGTTGATTTACATGTAATTCGTAGTCATTTTTATGTAATTTTGGGGCACTAACTGGGGCGTGCTCTCTATATGTTTAATTTACATGTAATTTGTTAGATATTACATGTAAATTATTCCTTAAGCTGAATTTTTTTCCATATTGATTTATATGTAATCAATTGTCATTTTCATATAATTACAAATGACAATGGTGTGCTCTTTGTTATTGGATTTGCATGTAATCCATAAAATATTACATGTATTTGTCACATTGACAGGTGAGGATTCAACAGCTTTACATGAATAATAACTGAATTTTCAATAGAAAACAAGTAAATGTCTTAAGGGAACTATGAACAACAAAAATATGAAAGAAACAAGAATAATTTTGTTAGTTTAGGTTTGTGTTTGTGCCAAGTACAAATGAAAAGATAAACAAAGATCACAAGGCACCCAAGATAAAAAAAAAAAACATATCATGAGGAGTAAGAACAATATCATGCCTATATTAAATTATATTCTACCTATAAAAAAAATAAATAAGGGAATACTCACAATAAATTCTCTCTTTTTAAAGCATGATATATTGCATAGCAAGCTGTGTTAACCTGTAATAGATGAATATTCAACAATGTAACGTGGAGGGCAATTGAATTGTCTTGAAAAAATAAGTAAATATGAAGAGGAAGAACGAACAACAATAATTTCAATAAAAGAGCATTAATTGCACTAGGTTTGGTTTATCTTTCTATTAAGTATAATCAAAATGGTAAAAAAAAAAGACCATAGGGCACCCCTTCTTACAAAAGATACTATGGGGGGTTAAGAACAATATCACGCCTATGTTAAACTTAAACTACATCCTACCTTCCAAAAAAAAAAAAACAAATAAGGGGAATGTTCATAAGTGCTTTTCAAAGTACAATAACAATTTCATTCAATCTTTTAGAGGAATTCCTTGATCAATCGACATTTTCTTATAACTCATTTGATTTATGATATGCATGAGTTGAATTTGTAAGAGCTTATTGATTTGATCTTATTTTTTCTCATCTTCAGACAAAACCTTATTTTTTTCTCTCTCAGCCAAATCCTTTCCAGCGGCATGGCCATGAATGCCTGTTTCACATTTGTAGTATCTTTCACACTTGTTTCTAGCAATGGTATACTAATTTCATTAGCAAATGCCAACAAAAGAAAAGAAAAATAAAAGTGATAAACTACTAGGAGTGGTAGATTTTTCTAGACAAAGCAGTTGTGAAGAAAATTACTTTAAGTGTTGGTTTAAAATTGCAATAATTACATTAATTACATATATTCCCAACAGCTTGAAAGAATAATAATTCCTATATTCTAATTCTAAGGAAGAAAATGACTAAAATATTAAATTGAGTGTTTACTTTATTAAGTAGAAAAAGGGTTTTAAGGTAAAAATGCCCATTGAGTCCAACAAGTTCATATGACAATAAGAGGTTGGCGAAAAACATCAGCCACCAATAAGCACATTGAAAGGAGAAGTAAAAGCAAAATATTGACCAATTTTAAAGATGACTAGTTAACTTGGATTGATGAAGTTAGAGTTGTTGAAGAGATGATAATGCTACTCATTTAATTTGTATTTTTGGCTATACTCCTAATGGAACAGATCAAATCATTTACCATCTAATCAAGTATTTTTAGTCGGTTAAAAAATCCAACAAATTCTCACTAAAATTATTAAGAAAGGTGAAGTAACTATATTAATAATGTTTAGCAAAAAGCCAGAAACTATATAATAATGAAAGTGCAAAGTCTTACAGATTCACAACATTGTTACCTAGTAAGATTGCAAATTGAGCAAGTTCAAATATCTTTTCAAAGTTATGCTACTTAATTGCTTCTTTATCAAATATGGCATTTGATAGAGCCATTGATGATGCTCCTTGCTTAATATATTCCCTAATTGAATCTACAACCATTTAGAAAAATTGTTTGCATTATAAACTCATGGCACATGACAACAAATTGATCTACTGATTAAGATGCATGCATATGTTCTTTTTCATACATAGATATTAGTCAAAATATGCTATAGAAAGCTTCTTTAATAATGTTGTATATATATTTACATGTTTACAACCCATGAGTATTTTTTCATAAAAAAAAAACTCAATACATATGTGGTGACAATTTGGTGGCATGCCATGAGCAGATCATTTTACAATTATAAAAAATTTTGTAGAGCACTTGGATTTTCAAACTTAATTTCATTTATTATAGATAGACAAAATGTCAAATAAGTGTGGCACCCAGAAATAAATAAGCTTCAAGAGAAGAATTAAGAAACAAACCTGAACTTTGTACTCTGCTTAATGATAGTAAAAAAAAGGGTGAGGACTGTCATGTGCTACGATACTTCACAATGTCTTGGAGAATAATGTTCCTTGCTTGTCTATACAGTAGAACCCACCCAAGAAGAACCTCCCATTTAATGCTTACAAGCATTCAACAGAAAATAAGCTTCTTTACTCAATTGACCTAATTCGAATTGGTTTTCTTTATACTATTTGAGTCTAAGCTATTCTCCTAAACTAGAGCTAGATGTTTCTGTATTTCTCTTTCCATCATTTAGAGCTTGAGCGAAAACCTCTTGCCATCACAATCGTGCTCAACTTTTCCTCCTCAATCGTCTCTTTGGGTCTTCGATTAGTTGTCTCTCTGATTCAATCTCCATCCATGCCGCACAAAACTTCTAATGGTGCTTAGATATTAGTTTCAGAGAAGAGTTGCACAGTCATGGTGATAAATAATCGCACGCAAAGAGATGAAGGGTCTAAGTCATAACTCACATTATTGGTTGGAAATTGTCTTCAATTTATTGTATTGCTTTCTCCTAACAACAAAGGGCATTTTAGTCAATTCACCCCATCCTTTTCTAAATATTAAAATGAGTTTGATCCTTCAATTGTATTTGGTCCCTAAGCATAATTTCCCTTCCAATCAAATCTTTTTCACTAATTCTCCTAATTTTATATTATTTTTATATTTTTTTTTCCAAAAATAAGTTTTAAATAAAAATCACATATCATAAAACTATGTCCTTTTTAGTTATACTTCTAAATGTTTTTTTTTGTCATATGTTATCCAAACAACTTTTATTTTACCAAAGGAACTTTTGAAAACATTTATTTAAATACCAGTCTTGTTACAATAACTAACTTTTATCAAATTGACTTTTAATAAATAGACTTTCAATAAATGAACTTTTGCTAAACTTAAAACTAGGAGTGTGTTTGGTGTGATATAATCATGATTCTTTGGAATCCTAATTCCTACAAATTTCTTGGAATTAGATTCCATATTGTAACCTATATGGAATTCGATTCTATGCTACCTTCCTATCATATCTCTCTTTTATTTCTTCATCTTACCCTTGCCTCCATTCTAGCTACAATGGACCACCAAGAGATGATGGTGATTATCAACTAACCTATATCCACCCATCAACCAATACCATCAATGACAATGATCGAGGAGGACTGAAGATCCAACGGGCGATGCAAGCGGTCCTAGCAATGACGGTGATGGTGTTAGCACATTGGGCCTCTTTCCCTCCTCCTCCTTCTTCGACTTGATACTTGAGTAGGTTTATGGGGACCTCAGCTATTGTTGCTGCACCAAGTGTGGGAGAAGCACTCATAAAAGGAACTTGTGCTAGGGGTGAGCTTAATGTAGTCATTGCTAAAGGCAACATTGTTGTTAGAGTTAGTGTTGCCACAGGCTTTGATAGAGAAGATGCTGGTAATGCCGATTTGGGAGATGATTTTAGAGTTGCTTCCTTAGGAGATGTAGTAGGAGGTCATCATTGATCGATGGGGGTTGCTAGCTTAATAGATGGGGATGAGTTCTTTTTTTTAAAAAAAAATTGACATGGGCAGTTTGGTCTTTTTAATTTCAAGTAAATATACTTATTAAATTATATCAGATTCCATTTTCATACTAAACACATTTTTAAAATCAAATTATAATTTGATTTCGATTCTAATTTTGTTTCTAAAATTGATATAGTAAAAAAAAATTCCTATTTTAATGCTTTTTGTTAAGGGTGGATCATTCAATATTTTTAATTAATATGACGTTGCATATGCCAAGACTCAAACTTGAAATCCTGAAAGAAAATTCAACTCCTTTAACAAATCGAACCAAATGTTTTGCTCATTGTTTATAGTGCTAGATGGATTTTTTTTTAATTTTGGTAAATAATAAGTACTTAAAATTATAACTCTATGAAATCTTATCCCATTCTTTTGGAAATCTAGTATTAAATTTTGATAAATTTTTGGATTATTTATATTTTGATAAATGAGCAAATTATCCTTTGAATTTTAAGTCCAATAGCATTAAAGATTCTAAACTTATTTATTATGTAAATTATTCTCTTAATTTTTAAAAATATTGCAATCTGGCTCCTACTGCTAACTAAAAGTGAATTTTGATTATTAGTTGATCATAAAAGTATATAAAAGGACATAAAAAATTATATATATATATATATATATAATAATTAACATTTAAGGTTAACTTTTGTTAATGATAGAAGTTAGATTGTATCATTTTAAAAAATTAAAATAATAATTTACACAATAAATAAGTTCAAAGTTTGTGGTATTATTAAAACTAAATTTTTGAGGTTAAATTGGTCATTTGTCTTTTAAATTTTAGCTAAAAGAAAAACATAATGTTGTATCAAGTTTCGCACCCTTTCATTTCAAAATTTTTTAACATCGTGTAATTTTTTCTATTAAAAAAAAAAAGTCCATGATACATCCGTCACGTTACCCCTAGCTTCTTGTATTGCTCGCATCGTTCGTCCTTTATTTGGAAGTTCCATGAACTTCACGCTGCCTTCTCTCTCTCTCTCTGTGTTTATATATATATATATATGGATACACACTCATATATAGTCGTGGGCGCATGCCTTTGCTCTTTTCCATCATTTCACCATCTTCCAAAACACAGAACTATGGACATCCTTTTCTGGCTTTTGATCTTCACGTGCTTCTCCTTTCTGCTTCTCTTCTTAACACTCTCTTACCATCTTTTCGCCGGAAAGTGCATCGGAGACCCAAACTACGCTCCAGTGAAAGGCACGGTGCTGCACCAGCTGTTGTACTTCAACAAGCTCTTCGATCAGCAGACAGAGATGGCGAGAACCGTAAGAACCTTCCGGCTTCTGGCTCCGAGGATGAGCGAGCTGTACACCGCCGATCCGAGGAACGTGGAGCATGTTCTCCGGTGGCGGTTCGACAAGTACTCGAAGGGGAAGTATAATCAGGAGGTGGTGAGGGATCTGCTCGGAGAGGGGATTTTCGCGGTAGACGGCGACAAGTGGAGGAAACAGAGGAAGCTGGCGAGCTTTGAGTTCTCCAATAGAGTTCTTAGGGATTTCAGTTGCTCTGCTTTCAGAGCTAATGCTGCCAAACTGGTTCGACTTGTCTCTGACTTTTCTCACTACGGTATGGTTTTTGATATGCAGGTATGCAATTCTTTTTCGTTAATTTTTTTTAGATGGAAAAAATAAAATAAAAGAAAGAATATCAACCAAAGACCCATAAAATAAATTAATATCTGAGAAGAATTCTGAACAGATCAAATATTTTGTTAAAATAATAACTTTACTTGTGATAGTTAATGTTTACTTGTTCAAAATCTCATCAAATATTTAATTCTTTTGGAGTGCTTTATCAATATTTTTCCAAAAGTCAATGGCTACACCTTAATTATTTCGTCGGCAAGCACCAGAAACGATGCACGAACGAGAATTGGCTTTTTAGAAGTTGAATTAGGGATTTGGATCCGATGACAGCTGTATTTATTTAATACATGCATTGAATCTATATATTATTTAAATTATTAAAATTCAGCTTAATAATTAAAATAAATTTATTTATTTATTAATTTTAAATAAATTATAAATTTATAATCATTGATCTGAATTTTAATAATTTAGATCATACAAATATTTAATATTTATATTAAATACAGTTATCGAATTTAAATGTGTGTGTGTGTGTGTTTTTTTTTTCCTTTGGAAAGAAAAGTTTGAAATTTAACGCAAACTCAATATATATGCTTAAACGGCTTTCCTACACGTACTTACGTACATACATATATACATAGATATACATGGAAAAATTCTGTTTTAACTCTCTAAATTTTAATGAGTTAAGGTGCAAAAATATTTAGATTTTTTTTCCCATATCCATATGTCAACAATGGTGCAGAGTACTGATTATTAATTTTATAAAAGAAATTAACTTTTCGTAATTCGTTAAAATAGCGGCATTAGACTATTTTATCATTTCTATAGGATTAGGGGAAGATTAGCCTTTTTTATAAAGTTAATGATGATACCCATACTATTTGTTAACTTAAAGATATCAAAAGCTCCCTGAAATTTTTTATGGATATTTTGTATCTTAACTCATACTTTAATTATATTTTATTTGTAGTTGCAGTTTATATTTATAGTTTTTCATCCGTTGATTTATTTAGTGTCTCCAAATGTTAGTCCCAATTTTTTTTTAAAAAAAATGCTCAAAATGACCACGAACCAGTCCAAAAAGTGCTAATTTTGCTAAGATCCAAACAAAATTTTCAATCAAACAGTTACATAATTTTTTTTTTCAGCGTGTTTTTTCATAGTTATCTAATGAGCGTTTAATGGCATTAAGTCTATATATGCCACTAAAATTAACATCGTTTGGGTTAGCTCATACTCTTTCTGAGTATTTTTCAAATTAAAGAGACTAATGTTTTAGATGAAACAAATAAAAAGGGATAGGAAACCAAGAAAAGAAACTACAAAAACTAAAAATAAAATACAATAAGGACGTGTGTAGTAATATTTTCTCTTTTATATATAATATCATTTTCAAGAACGGACTCACCAGACACTTCTAAGAGAGTGGTTTGCCAACAGGAAAAGACTGAGTATTGGTGCAATAATTAAAGGAATCAAAAGATACACAATAAATATTATATATATATATATATATATATATATTCAACAATCTGATTAAAGAAAAAATAATATGTAATGGAAAAAAAAATCTTAAAATAGGAAAACTTCTGTACAATTAACGTTCAATGTATATTTGGCTCCCTCTAGGTATTGGAACATTATTTGACTATTGAAGATCCAATTAAGCTCTCTCTTGATAACAAATTAAATCTTAAAACATAAATGTAAATGCATAGATCGTTTATAACTGAGATAATTATAAATTAGATATTGTTATAATTTTTAGGGAAAATGATAACAAAATTCCTCTGAATTATATAAATGATACTCTAGTATTTTGAAATATCATCATTTCACTGAAATCCCTAAAGACCTCTTTGTTAATAAATTTAAAATTAAAAAGATTATTTTACCTTAATTTATAAGTTGTGATTTCTTATTCAATTTTTGTGATTCTTTAAATAAAAATTTTGATTCTTTAAATAAAAGTTATAAATGAGATTTGTTATTTTGAAAACTTATTTTTCAATAATAAAAATTACATTTTGATAAATTGTGATTTCTTGTTCAACTCTTGTAATTCACAGAATAAAAGTTGTTATTTTTTAAGTAAAAGTTGTAATTAGAGCTTGTGTTTCAATAACAAAAATTACATTTGATAAGTTGTGATTTTTTATTTAACTCTTGTGATTTATTAAACCAAAATTGTGATTGGGCTTTGTTATTTTCAATAAGAGAAAAATAATTTTTTTACTTTAAAATTTATCAACACAGAGATCTTTAGAGATTTTATTGAAATTACGACTGAGATTAAATTTAGAAAAGTTTTATTGTTATTTTCCTTCATTTTTATCTGTTATATCTGTATCGTTCCAGCTGGAAATCCCCATCCAAATTTTGCAATATGCAAATGTAAGTCCCCATCAGCCACCGAAAAATTAAATATTCTGCGGAAGAACTTGATTTAATCGCACTTTGTCTTCTTCCACTTCCTCTATACCGTTCTTTCACGTCAACAAAAATCCAAAACACTCACTCTCTTTCTATTATTAAATAAGCACTTGAGCCACAAGAATATTTATCTTTTAGCAAATACGAGCTAGAACAACAATGGCGGCTATCGTTTCCTGGCTTTTGGCCTTCACTTCTATCTCCATTTTCGTTCTCCTGTTCACCTTCTTCATCCCCCTTGCGATCTCCCTCTTCGCCGGCAAGTCAATCGGAGACCCCAGATATGCGCCGGTGAAAGGCACCGTGTTCCACCTACTCTTCCACTTCCACAGGCTCTTTGACTACCAGACGGAGACGGCAAGAACACTAAGAACCTTCCGGCTTCTGTCTCCGGGAATGAGCGAGCACTACACCACCGATCCGAGGAACGTGGAACACGTTCTCCGGTGGAAGTTCGAGGAGTACTCAAAGGGGAAGTACAATCAAGAGATTCTGAGGGATCTGTTCGGACAGGGAATTTTCGCGGTGGACGGAAAGATGTGGAGACAACAGCGGAAGCTGGCGAGCTTCGAGTTCTCGACCAGAGTTCTTAGGGATTTTAGTAGCTCTGCTTTCAGAAGCAACGCCGGAAAATTGGTCCGACTTGTCTCCAAGTTTTCTGAGGAGGGTTTGGTTTTTGACATGCAGGTAATAACAAGTCTTTGGTTAATTAAGCTTCGGCAATGTTTTCCGGGAAAGAGAACTTTAACAATAAAATTCGTTGATAAAGATTTAATTCATAATTTACAACATTAAATTCTATTATTGATATGAAAACTCAATTAAACTCTTTTTTTTAATATACAAAAAATAGCTCTCACCTTTTCCTCTCTTTGAATTCTTCTCATGTACTACGCAGGCCGGGGATTGAGATTCGTGCTCAATGAAATCTAGACCATTTAAAATTGATTTAACAATTTAAAATTTTTAAGCACAATTTTTTATATGAAAAATTATTTTTTAATCATATATCCATTAAAACAATAATTTATTAAAAATATAAAAAATTATATCAAAATCTAGACCGTCTACATTAATTATCATCAGTAAAGTTTTAACATAGAAACTGCTCCCTTCTCTCAGATACGTTAACTTATGGTGATGACATCATTAGTGCCGATCTGTCGAAGTTGAAGCTTTATTTTAGCCTCTGTATTTTTATGCGTAAAAAATCCTTGAGCGTGTTTCGTTCATATATTGGTTAGATGGTTTAATTGAGATAATTTAAATTTTATTTTTTAAAGTTGAAAAATTATGTTTCTTTTATTATCTTCATTTTTCAAAATAAAAAAATATTAACTTTTCCAAAAAAACAGAATATAAATCATTTATATTAAAATTAGATGATATTGTGTGCGCACTATGTGCAAAGGAATCATGCTATTGTTTGCTTTTATATAATATGTTTCCCTTGTAACTGCTAGCATTATACTATATTTTCTTAGTATTGATAACAAAAACACAGACAAGAATCTATTTAACCTCTGTGTAAATCAATTCCAATAAAATAAATTATATATCTAGATTTAAATCAAACTAGAGGCTTTTATATTTAGGTTTATATTTAAGTAGCATCATACTATATTTAGGTTCATCCATAAATTAATTCCATGGCCTCCTGCATGCATCTGGTAATAATTTTTTTTTTAAAAACCTACACATAATTAAGATTTGCAAAGGCAGATGTTTTTTTTAAAAAAATGATTGTTTATTGGTAAATGTAATCTTTCACATCAATGAGTGTCACATTTGTAATATCACACAAAACAACGGGTGAGAAACGCTGCACATGCTAAACATAAGTCAAAAGTCGAAGACACACACATATAAATGTGCGGATATATAGAGATCGAGTTTGCGTGTTGTTTTTGTAGGATATATTAATGAGATGCACGTTGGATTCGATATTCAAAGTAGGGTTTGGAGTGGAACTGAATTGCCTAGAAGGAACAAGTCAAGAAGGGAGTGAGTTTATGAAGGCATTTGATGAGTCCAATGCTTTGGTTTATTGGCGCTACGTTGACCCTTTGTGGAAGATTAAGAGATTTCTCAACATTGGCTCTGAAGCTGCCCTTAAAAACAATGTCAAATTCATTGATCATTTTGTGAATCGAGTCATTGACTCCAAGAGACGCAACTTGGCCATGCACCAACATCACGTAAGTAATAGTTTCCGAAGTTATTTTAGTTTTTCATTTGTTTAATTTATTCCATATTTCATAACAATTATTTTCAAAAGGGAAAACAATACAACTATGAGTCCTATAGTTTTAATGAGTTCTGGTATAGGTCTTTGTCGTTTTTCTTCATTGTTTCATGTCTTTCAAGTTTATCCCGTGTGCAACATTATTAGTCTCTATTTGTTAGTATGTCCAAAAAAATGATGAGATAAGACTAACGATGTTAAATATGTTGACCTGTAACTAGTGTTATTAATATTATTTGTGCTAAGGTGGAATAATGTTTTAACATATTGAAACCCGAAACATGAAACAAAACATAGTAAACAACCTTGCTATTCTGATGAATCATAATTTCACTCACAAAAGATTAACGGAATTTTCCATGAATGAACATATTTAACAGTATTAGTGTCTTCCTGGGCATATTCAAAAGTAGTAGAAGCACTAATGTTGTAAATAGGATAAACTAAAAAGACCTGTAGCAGTGAAAAAAATTATAGGGACCTATATTAAAACATCTTAAAACTATAAGGCCTAATAGTTATGTTTTCCCTTTCCAAAAAATAAGGTAGGAGATATTTGTAAATTTTCATTTTTTTATACAATTAATTATCTGATATTTATTGTTATGTACTACGTACTTATTAGAAGTAGCTTTCCAATGTTTTTCGTCCACAAAATTTGAATCTTTCGACCATTGCTGAACAAACCCGGCCCCTTGATATTGACTCAATCATTGTTAGCTGTAAATTTTAATTTTGAGTGAGTGGGTATCAGTAAAGCAAAAATTTTAAAAATATAAATTTCCAAAAGACCTTCTATTTTATATATTGAAAAGAGGGATATAAATCAGAGAGAGAGAGAGAGAGACAGAGGGAGAGGGAGGGAGGGAGAGGTATAACATTAAAATAAACTTATTTAATGAAACTTTAATTTTCTTAAAGTGTCTTATATTTTGAAATGTTGAATTTTCTAAAAAGTGTTATGTCTTTTTATTTGGAATGGAAAGAGTAGTTTTAAGTAGGAGTGTTCATGGTTGTACCTATCCTGGTTAGCCCATAGCTATCTCCGACACATGTTGGATTTTCAGGCAGAATATTTGTGAGACAAAAGAGAAAAAGAGCCAAGATGAGACAGGACTTGGGATACTCTTCAGGATGTTTCGTCCCATCCTGGTATTATGGGTGTGTTTGTGTGTGTATTTCTTTTAGGGTCTTTTGCATATACATAATATAGAACCAAACCAATGAAATAACCTAATATTTATTATATTTTACATTATATTAGTTTATTATATTTGTCAATGATATACCATTGTATATTAATGATAAATCCCTTATAAATTTTCAAAATTTCAATAATGAACCTTTTGTATATCAATAATATACCCCTTGTATATCAATGTGAACCGGCCACACTTTCAAATTTTAAAAAATTTAATCCACACTTTTTAGGCATAATATTTGTATTGGCTAGTGGGCAATTTATCCTTTCTTGTATTATATGTGTTAATTATTATGTTATTTTCATTTTTTATTTGTTTATATTTTCTATTTATTTTTACTTCATTTAATTTTGCATTGCTTCGTCATATTTGATCTAGCTAAGCAAGTTGTGAAATGTTTTTTGAGTCTAAGCCTGGTTGTTATCGCTTATCATAATCAAAGTTTATAATAGGCTCTAACCAAGTAGCTTGCAACTGCATACATGCTCTTGTATTGGGGGTGTCTCATGTTCTTATTTTTACTTGTTTATATGTTGAAACTCAATTGATTAATCATATATATAGAAGTCTTATTCTTTGTACATGTTGGTCAAGTATTACTAGTCATGTGAAGATACAAATAAGGGTGGCTATCAAGATGTCTTGGTCTCATTTCGATAATGAAAAGGGACAACTTCTAAAACGGGACGAGACACAAGACAAAATTTGAGTCTTGATCATTTTTCAAGACGCGGGTGTTTGAGTCTTGTTCCCATCCAATGAACACCCCTTAGTTTTAAGGGCAAATGAAGATTTTTTTTTTTGGGGTGCAAACTAAGCAATTTCTTCTTCCACCTTTCCGTGGATATAATATAGATAATTAAGGTTTAGCTATTATAAAACTTATCTGAATTCTGACAATTTTTTCTGCGTGGTTTGTGCAGAATGACAAAGAGGACATTCTGTCTAGGTTTGTGATGGAGAGCAAGAAGGATCCAGAAACTATGAATGATAAGTATCTGAGGGACATAATTCTGAACTTCATGATAGCTGGGAAGGACACAAGTGCCAATACTCTATCATGGTTCTTGTACATGATGTGTAAGAACCCTCTTGTTCAAGAGAAGATTGCTCAAGAAGTGAGACACGTCACTTGTACCCAAGAAACTAAACCTAACATCGATGACTTTGTGGCTAACATAACAGAAGCCACTCTCGAGAAAATGCATTATCTTCATGCAGCTCTCACAGAAACCCTAAGGCTATATCCTGCGGTTCCTGTTGTAAGCGCTCTCTCTCTCTCTCTCTCTATATATATATATATATATATATAGGCCTCGTTTAGTAGACAAAATGGAATGGAATGAAACAAAGGAATAGAATGAAAAAAGTGACTTTTTTTAGATGGAAATGCCTTTAATCTATGTCCTAAATTAAAGATAATAACGCAGTTGTTATATATCGAACAATCATAACTTGGGTATAATAGAGATTGAACACATCGAATTTTGTGCTGTGGAGTCCAATTTAATTTCCATTGAAGTAACCAAGAGAACTTTGATTAACTTTTCAAGCATCCAATATAAACTAGATTACGGACTTGAACGTTAGCCGTACATTGTTTGAGTTATGACTTGGCAAAAATGTTGGGGGCGGGGGCTTAGGACTTTTTTGAGTCTATTAAATATTTTTTTATTTTAAAAAATAATTATTTAGAGTAGTTTTATTGAACAAGTTTCGAAAACCAAAAAAAATGTTTAAATCATTATTTTTGAAAAACATATCAAAAGTGATGAAATGAGGCGGGGAGAATGGTTTGTTTTATTAACATGATTTCCGTTAATCAAAACATATTTTTTTAATTTCATAGAACAAATTAAAAGTAACAAAAACATGAAAAAGATATTCAAGTTTTTTATTTATCATAATAAATAACCAAAAACACATTACCAAAAAATTGTTTTATTGTTTTGTTTTTCAATACAAAAAAAATTATTCTTAAAATAGGAAATCAAACTGACCTTTAATTCTATTTAAATATTATATTATATATAGCTAGATTGAAAGAGTAATTTAAACTTTATTCCTGAATATCTAACTTTTTTCACTATATTGGGATCTAAAAAGTTAAGGTTTTACTTGAGTTTAAAATGTAGTCAAATCAGAAAGATCCTAGTCATAGTTTCGTTCTAATTGGAAAATATTTTTATACTTGTGCTTAAACTAATTAAAATTTTTCCTTTACATTCATCCAAGGTTTAAATTGAGAGAATGAATCTGAACTCCAATACATGTACATGTATATAATGCAAAAATTGATAGCATCGGTATGTTTGGCTTGTGACTCATGACTCTCAAGGATGGGAGGACTGCAGAAACAGATGATATCCTCCCTGATGGCTACAAACTGAAGAAAGGAGATGGAGTTTACTACATGGCTTATGCTATGGGACGCATGCCCTACATTTGGGGTGACGACGCCGGCGAGTTTCGCCCAGAAAGATGGCTCCAAGATTCAACCTTTCAACCTCAATCTCCATTCAAGTTCATAGCTTTCCATGTTTGTATCACTAATCTATGTCTTCATTATAATTGCTGAGAAATTTTCAAGCATAAACTAAAAGCAATCATTCATATATTTGCAGGCTGGACCTCGTATCTGTTTAGGGAAGGACTTTGCTTACAGGCAGATGAAGATAGTAGCAATGGCTCTTCTTCGCTTCTTTATCTTCAAATTGGACGTTGAAACTAGGACTGTGACTTACAAGACAATGTTTACACTTCACATTGATAAGGGTCTTCCAATTCGTGCTATCCCAAGGCCTTGAAAAATATGTAATGTTGTGAAGCAAACCCATATCACGAGCTTGTGTGCTCTAGTAGTGTGTGTTTGTGTGTAGATATATAAATTATGAATTCTATAGGAGGGGGAAAGTCTTTCATTTAGTTCCATATATATATATATATATATATATATATATAGTGTATGTATACAGGAATGAAAAATTAATTGTAGCTATTTGGGGTGAGTGTGTTGGTACCGCGGATATCAATGATATATTTGATACGAGAAGCTTTGTATAAAATGTCATAATATAATTTTTTTCTTTTTTCTAAAAAAATGTCATGATATTCGTATGGTAGGAAGTGTGAAATATATAAATCATATTACTCATGCATGCTTTATAATAGTACGTTGACATTTTATAGATAATACTCTAATAAAAGGGATTTATTCAGCGGTTCCAATAGCAATGTTATTTCAGGAGATGTACATTGGTTTTACAACTAATCAAGTCTATAACTATTATAGAAAGTCATTGAATATTTTAAAAAAGAATTAGTACCCTACTTTTTACATCTGTTATGATCACAACCAACGTAAAAAAACCCCACTTTCTACATCTTGTGGCCATGAAACCATCTTGGTCATTTCTCTGCTCCCCAGCCAAAGCATCCAAAATATGATTGTGCTCTTGGTAATCATGAAAAACTTTTTTAATTTATGATAAAAATGATCTCGTTTAAGAAACTTTTGATGGTCATGGTAAAATTGTCTTCCTTTTATGTTGAAGTTAATGGTAGCTTATGCCTTCTTTACAAATTAAACATGCTTTATAACCCTTCATCTATATCCGAACAAATTTACATATGCAAGAAAATTGTTTATAGTGCAAGAGATTGTAACATGTAACTTAAAATTCTCTTTCATTTTGTGTCAAACACTTTTATACCTACTTTCCATAGATCTTTTAAGTCTTCAATAAGAGATATTATGCAACTTTCATCATAACTTGTATAATATCCATATTCACAAGTTTGGTTTAGTTTAATTTTGGAAAAAAATCACACTGAATCAAATCAATCGATTCACCAAAGCTTAGAACTTATATTCAATTTTTTCCTCTAATTGGAGTGGTTTGGTTTAAATCAATTCAATTTTCTTGGAGAATAGCATATAAGGCCCACTAAAGAAAGACATTTGCTTTGCAGACTTGATAGATTCTGGTAATCCTTCGCAGGCTCGAAGGTTTCATGTGTAACTATTTTTAAAGCTAAAATAACTGAACTACCCTTAATGAGTGCGAATATCTATATTGCTGCACATGTTAACCAAAAGAAATTAACAACAAAAGGTCTGCAAATAACAAGAAAAATTTAATTATTTGCAACAAGAAGAAGTCCATTTATTCACAAGAGTCTATGTAGGTTTACAGTTGAGAAAATTTACAAGTTAATCAAATGAAATTAATAACAAAAGTCCGTAAATAATAAAAAAATACAATTATTTACAACAAAAAATTTGTTTATTCATAAGATCTCATAATTTACACTTGTACCTGGAGAGAAAATTTATTTGTTAACTGAAGAAAATTAACAACAGAATGTCCGTATCACAAAAACAATCTAATTATTTATACCAATAAATCCATAAATTCAGAAGAGTCCATGCTGATTTATACCTGTAGGGGAAAATTTACAAGTCCAAAAGTATTCAAATTCACGATATAGTTTCAGCAGTCATACTAATGGAAATAATATAATATTCAAATTCCACTTTCTATTTTGAATATAAGACTATCAATTGTGAAATTTACATTAATCATAGCATCATCAATTTTCACATCTTTAAAATTAGCCATATACCAAGAATTCATGAATTACTCCAGACCTTAATGTTATGACCAGAACCAATCTTCCGGCAAGAATCTTTGAGGAGTAAATCTCTGCCATTCAAAATACTACTTCAAGCCCCAAGAGGCTTGTGAACCTTGTTAATTTAGCCTGAAGGAAAGAACCCGAGGGAAAGAACTTTGAGCCCAAAGATGCTTAGGATTATTTTAAAGCCTCCATGAAGTCTTTGCTAGCTAATAAAACACCATTAAAGTTTATAAATCTCTAAAGCCAAGGCCACCATCTTTCTTTGAATAGAATAAGCAGTTCCATGCCCTCCAATGTATTCTTTCTAAACTAATTCTGCACCCAGAAGAAATTTGCGACAAAACTATTGAACAAATTTAACCATTAAAAACAATATATTATCTTTGAAACTTTTAATTAAAAAATTATTATAAATAATGATATACAACTTTTAGTTAATTTTAACATTTTTTACTAGTGTTTTAAAAATAATTAAAATTGGACAAGAAAAATTAGGCAAATTTATAAAATTGTATAAAATAAATATAATTAATAAGGCTTGGTTTAGTTCAGTCCGAGTTTTGAAACTCGAACGGAAAAAAACCAAACTAATTTTGTTAAGGAAAAAAAACCAAATCAAACATTATTTATATGTTTTGATCAGTTTATGTAAATTTAGTTTGTTGTAAATAGTTTTGAACACCCTTATTATTGAGACTACAATACTAGTCATCATTTTAATATATTATTACAATTAAATGCTTGTAACATCATAAATAGAGATTGGTTTTGTTTTGCAAATTTTGTTTCGAGAGATGTACTCCCTTCAGTCCCATTTACAAGTCACATTCTAGAAAATCTATTTGGTTTCATTTATAAGTCATGGTGCAGCTTTTTACATGATATTTGAAAAGTATTTCTAAAATTACTCTCCATGACAGAAAAAAATAACAAGATATCACTTTTTAAATTTATTATATAAGGGCATATTTTTACATACTTTTATTCTCTGTATTTTTTTTTTTGTATTAGTATTGATGAGATTGATAAAAATGATTTATAAAGAAGACTGGAAGAGTAATTAGTTGTGTTAACTCCTTAGCTAGGAAAGCACACATGAGATTGAGAATGATTGTTTTTCATTCCATTGTTTGGTATCTTAGGGAGTTTGGGGTGCTACCAAACTAATTCGAATCCCTATTGTGTGAAATTATTATTACCAATAGCGACCTTAAGGCTATCTCAATGGGGATATCTTACATATCCCAAGACTTGAACTCAAAAATTCAAGATAAGCTAATTCAATTTTCTCAACTAATTGAACCAAATGCCTTTCGATTAACTTGAGAGGGATTATTGCATCTTTAATCATTTATCACCTTTTTACTCAGAAGGTGGTGAGTGATGATAAACTAGAACTTGTGCCCTGTGTAATGCAAAGGAAGTTGATTTTATGCATGTTGAATTGAGAAATTGGATTGTAAAGTTGATGAGGTTTTTAATGTAAAGATGTTTTGGTTTGTGAGTACGAAAAGTTGATTCATGATGTTTTGTTGTAAGGTTGTTATAATTTTTTTTAAATTTTGTTGCTTGATAAAAATTGTCTATGATATCTATCACACCTCGATACTAAAGGTATGACTAACCTGAAATATGAGATATAGTCACATTCCATAAGCTTGGATTAGTCACAAATTAATCTAAAATATCAGTATATAAGTTATATATAATAATAAAGTTTGTAAAGTTTTAGATGTTTTGTAAAAATTGTGGTAGATTCTTCCCTGTAATTTAAACTTCCCAAAATTTTTACAATGACAAAACCTATCAACCAATCCTACAAGGGAGACTAGCTCCACACTAACAAATTACATACCAATAAAATAAAATTAAGATATAACTATGGTGTATGTGAAGCACTAAATTATAATTATATAATAAAATATATAATTTCACCAGAAGGGATAATCACAGTATGCTTCCTTTTTCAAAAAACAAAAAATAAGGCCCTCAATGATCCGTAGGAGGCTCAAGGTCAGCTACAATATCTAAGACTAAAGAAATTTTTGGTGATTAGCATTCCAATCAGAATTATATTAAAAAATTTATGAAGATAGAACTAATAAATTTAATTTAAAAAAATTTAATGAAATAATAAAACATATATTTGAACCACCAATAAAGAACAAATTTTTCTCAATAATACAATCATGAAACTAAATAATGCTAATAGAACAATATTATTTTATTAAAATTTACATTGCTCGTAGAATATAAAATTTCAAATAATGGTACAATTAGCTAGAATTAATATAGAAATGATAGATTTTAATTTAAATTTAGAAGGGCTTGATTAGAATGAATGACAAGAATGGACACACAGTCCACGAAGGTAAGTAACTAATCTAGTATGGCTGGAAGTCACGAAACAAGCGTGGCAGGAGTCACAAATTAAGCACAGACAAGAGGCCTATGAAAACAAGCATGAGCACAATGCTCACGAATGGCCATCCCTTCAATCCATGTGTATTGACCTTCACACAGGGCTTGCACCTCTTTTAAGCATCTTACTAGCTAGATGTACCATGACGTGCCAAGGGCTAAAGAAATTGTCGTTAACATCTAGCATTTTGAACTTGATCTGCCTAATTAAAGTTAAGTGTGTATGGAGCAAGAAAATAATTTCCAACCTATTTGGATTGACAAAAATCAATCATTGAGGCCAAATAATTGATTTTTAAAAAAATTACCCAAATAGTCAATTAATTTAATAATTGATTATTGAGCCAGAATTACATTTTGAAATAAGCTTTGGATATTTTACTTAATCACGTAGAATATATACACAAATCATTTTGAAATTGCTTATTGATTCAATTTTATTATTAAATAATATGTTTTACTTCTTAAATGAAGTTTAACAAATTTAGTAATATTAAATAAAACTTTATTAATAATTTAATTTTGAAAAACAAGGTCCTTTATGGTAATTTGTACTATTAAAATCAATTTCAGCATCCAAACAGATTACGTTATAACACAATTAATTATAATTAAAGTCAATTATATTAATAAATTATCTTCATAATTAGTTATACCCAACTAAAATCCAAATGGGCCCTTCAAAATTTTCATTTTGAACCATTGTTCAACTATCATTTTTCATTACTCAAGTTTATTATCATTTCTTTTATACGTGAATCATTGTATTAAATTTTTTTATATCAACATAGAATTAAATAAATAAACTACTTTTAAAAAATAATAACATTTATCGTATACCTG